GGGAGTGGGCAATGAAGAGTGGGAGTGGGCAATGAAGTGCAGGGAGTGGAATGTGAGATGTGTGGGGGCGTGGAGTATGGAGTGGTTATACTCACCCTGATGCCTGCGTCGCGGTTGGCCTGAGCTACGCCGATGTCCGCGTCGCGCTTCACCGCCGCCGTCTGCGCCTTGCCCAGCGACGCCAGGTACTGCACCTCGTCGTACACGTCCTTGATCGTGAACGACAGGATCTCAATCCCCATACGTCCAACGTCGGGCGCTGCCACCTCCCGCACCAAAGCGGCGAATTGGTCGCGATCTTTGTACACTTCCTCGACAGTAAGCGTTCCTGCGAACATAACACGTGCAACGTCACAAACCACGCAGACACTACAAACGCAAATAAAAATTTTAGAATGTTACAAGAAATTAATTTTGCATTACTGCTTGCGTAAGATCTCTCTTCGGTTAGCCGAGATACTGTCAAAATAATGATTAGTCGCAAACAATTTGCTAATAACACGAGAATATTATTTCGGGTGGAACAGACTCAAAGTGACACGTCACAAACTTTCAACTAAGTGAATAAGAGAATACGAAACACCAGGTAAAGTATTTATTCGAATTGATCTCTCTGTAATAATAAAAAAAATATGTAGACTACATTTATCGCTTATTTACGTAATAAAAATACGAAGGTAGCCTGGCGAACCTAATGCATTTTCAGATAATTTTTAAAAATGGCATGCATTTGCGCCACAATACTTTCAAAAAAGGCATCCCTTTCATTGAAGTTGATACTCTAACATTTTCAGTTCAGATCAACAAAATACAGGATATTCTTCTGAATGAAATATTATAAATTGATGAGATCATGGGCAAAATGGTCATTTTTATGTAGTAATTTTTATTCTGACACATTGTCTTGAATACCAAAAACCGGTAAAAGTAGAAATGGAGGTTGCTATCTGCTTCCGAAAACGTAAAATTATAATTTCTGTTACTATACAACAAACATTGTTAAAAATTAACAAAGAACTGACAGCAAGAATATTTCCTTCATTTAATCTTCTGAGACAACGATTATCTTCATCTTTCTTCATCTACAAACCTCAAACACTCTCTCCTTATCGTGATCTTCTTCGCTAGAAGACAATTCAAAATTATCAGCCTCGGTGAAATGTGCAACGATAATAAAAAAGTGCATTAACCATTCTTTTTATATTGTCATAGAGAATTAAATTTATGTTAAGTAAACATTTCTGTTAAGAAAATGAAAATCATTGTATATTAAGTGAAAAAACTACCGCAGGTACAACAGGTACTCGCTCGCCTAGATTAATATACTATCAATAAATTGCCAGATGATGCAATATTTTCTTTGGGAAAGGAAGAAAATCCATGAAGGAGGGAGGGGGGCAAATATTCTCTTTAACAAAGAAATATTTATACGGCAGCATTAAAAAATACCTGAATCAGCACTCTGTCCCATTCCGTTTTTCTTGTTTACGAGTATTTTTTCTGGTAATGCTTTAGAGAATAATAATTTACGCTTTTGGAAAGAGATGCTAAGAATCTGGTGGAACTGGTAATGCATCCCTACTTTGCTTAATGACATTCCTCAAGTCCATTCATTGGAGTCTATCGGAAGCCGATTCTCATATTAAAGTAATCAGGCTGACGTTTGCTAGCCATTATGTCACCGCAATCGCCTCTACAAGAAGCCACAAGCCGTCGAGACGTTTCCGACGCATTCACGTGTGTGACACATACGTTCCACGACATCTTAAAGGAAAAAAGTGGAGCGGGAGGGAAGTCAGCAAGGGAATAAAGAGGAAATGAAGAAACGCGGAATCAAGTGACGTGAGGATCCCCTTGCGCCCATCCAGCCGCAGCACATTTCACCCGCGGTGGCGCCTCTGTCATGGGTCTAAATTTGTCCCCGCCGTGTGGCCAGGAGCGAAGCGAGGCGACGAGGGGGGGGGGAAGGGGCAATTGAGAGAGAGGTCGCAGGGCAAGAACGCGGCCCGAGCGCAAGGGCATCGCGCGACGCTAGGTCAGCCTTGCCGCCCGCTCCGTCCCCGCTCCGCCCCCGCAACGCCCCGCTTCGCCGCGCGCCGGCCAAACGGCGCCGTTTTACGCCATTTCACGCCGTTTACGCCGCCCGCTCGGAGCCTCCCATCTCGCAGGGGAACCTACTTTGCGCTCATAACTCAGGATCAACCGACCCATTCGCTTTGAGAGCGACCGGAAATTCCGTCTGATTCAGCCCCTCCGCAACCACAACTTCGTCCTATAACTCCCGCCTAAAACGCAATAAATACAGATTAAGCAGTTATGTCAATATAATTACAAATAAAAAAGATCCTTTCCGTCCGACTGGAAGTTAGGAAGCCGGGGAGATCCTTATGTATAACCCACAACTTCGTAGGACATGATAGATTGATGTTCGAAATACACATTAGGAAGAGCTACGGGAAATGGAGAACTCTTTTAATTACTCTGGACAAGATGTTTCGTTTTCAAGAGGTCTTAACAGCTTTGTGAAGTACCTTGAGCTTTCTTAATGAATTATATTTATCGAAAGAAGGAATTACAAATCTCAAAGAGACGAGCGTGCAGAAACAAAGGAACAATACGAGAAATACTTTTTCGAAACACGAAATATGTTTCCCCTAAAAGAAATTCACTGCTGCTTGCCTATTTGAAGTGAAAACATTATACTACATGGAACGACACTCTGCGGATTGAAGCAACATCACAGATGAAAACATTCCTATCACACTGATAAAAAAATAATAACACTGAACAGTACTGACACTTTCTCTTCATAAAAGAAGTCCTTTTCTAGCTATGGGAGAGAAACCTTTCACAAGATACACGAAATGCCTCTTATGGTGTAAGAATGGCAAAGGTTTATATATTTTTTTTATTTGAAATTAAATATCTTTACGGTGAACCCATTCTATTTTTAATAAAATGTACCGTTTCTGAGACAAAAAGTTGATGAATGGAAATTAATAATGACTTAATAGTGCAATAGCACGCTCATAAATAAAGAAAAATTCTACTGGCTCACAGAAACTTCACAACTTATTTTCTTTCAAAGAAAACAAATGAATATACAACTATCTCTATTCCTCTGGAGATAGTTGTATATTATATACCTCTAAAAAATACAAATTAGAGAACTTTTTAAAGCACTAAATATGAATTATATATAACCATCTTTTAAACCAGCTCTTAACGCGAATTAACCTATCAACGCAATATCGTCCAAGAGTGACCAACGCTAGGCGACAATGAGTATGCATTACCTGGGAGGTTGAATTGTTACATTAATCACAAGACACGGTTCCACAAGCTTGTATTGGCGATGTCGGTAGTGGAGTTCGACGGAGTATCATTAAAGTTTTCATTTCTCCATTTCACCACAGGTAGATATAAATAGAATTATGTTATTTTGTATTGCACATAAAGGTTTCTTTTATTACACCGATTGCAATTAACTCTTGCAATCACGATTCTGAAGAAGAATTTCGCCAACTTGTAATTGTAATTTACAGCGAGACAAAAAAGAGAAACCAAAAACAGTCATCGTGGATCATAACACACTCACGAACAGAACACCTGGAGTTACTCCAAACAACCCTATATACAGAGTGAACTAAAAGAGGATGAACAATTATGTGTTTACAGCAAAATTCCACTTTAATTTCATAATAAATAGACGAGATCAATTGCGAAACGAAATCTGCTGCATCACTATTTCACTCCGTACGAGAACGCCGTGAGCTCTTTCCAGCAGAAAGGAACGCCGGTAGGCTGACGGGTGGACGGGCAGTGGAGTACCTGCGCACGTGGAAGACAAATATGGCGACGCCCAGCGTCACCTGCAGCGTGGGGATCGCCGCCAGCACCATGACCGCGAGCACGCAGCGCCGCCTTGTCGCCGCCCTCTGCCGCTGCCGTTGTCGTCGTCACCGCCGCCGTGCGCCTTCTCGACCGTACGGCCCCTCGCGATCGACGTCCTGGTGGCTGGCGCCTGATAAGATAGCGACGGAGCCGACTCCTCGCGAACCTGCGCGCCGCGCCGATTTGGCTGAACGCGATTCGGCGATTTCCTTTCGGAAGCGGCAGATGGAACGGCTCTGTTTGCCAGCGGCGAAGGCGTCTTCAATCAATGCGCTCCGACGCTTATCTCCGGATCTGCTGGAAACTTTCGGAATCAGCCAACAACTCCTCGGCGATCGACTCCCTAATCGAATCGATGTTGCTCTTCGAAACTACTCGTGGTTTCTATTAAGATTTCTCCGATACACCGGCCCGACTCTTCTCCGCGTTCCCTGCGGCGAACTTGGTTCAGCGGCGCTCGTTACAACTTTGGAAGCGCGCTCCGTGAGGCGGTGGCTGGCGTGCGTGGTGGCTGCGCCGCTGTGCGCTCCGGTGGGCCGCTGCGGGGCGCGCTCGTGCGGGGCAGAGCGTCCGAATGCCGATCGCTGGCAAGCGCAAATGTGCACGCGAGCGAGCGCTGCCGGGGCTTTGTAGCGCGGCGCGCCCCTCCCCGCCCCCCGCCCCCGCGGGCGCGCGACGGAAGCCCCCTCGCGCGCGCGCGCACCGCGCGAGGTCGATTCAATCCGAGTGGCGGGATTCCGGCTAATGCAGCGGCGCAACGCCCCGCGCGGCCGCAGCGACAGCTCCGCTTCCTGCGAGGGTCTCCCCGCCACTGCTTGCGGTGGGGGCGCCACCACAGGCGGTGGACATGCAAATTGTGCGCACTGAGAAAGTGGCGATGGTGGAGGAGTGCCGGGGTGCACGTGAATTCGTCGGCGAGAGGACGACGGGAGGACAGCGAGTGGACAAAGAGAGAACAACGGGAAGACAACAGGAAGACAGCAGGACAGCGGGTGGACAACGGGAGGATAGAGGGAGAGTGATGAAAAAAGCAGCGGGTGGGTATGCGGTAGGAGAACTGTGAGCAATAGTGGAGAAGGAGGGGAGTGGTGATGATGGTGCAGATTATGTTTGTTGGTTTGCAACTGTGTGGGTGGCCAACGTCACGGGGATCCAGGCGTCCTTCTGCCACACGGATCCCCATGTTTCGTAGAAATATTGCACGCAGGTTGCGTTTTTCCTTCCTCAATCTTCAAGGCTCGGAAGGATTTCCCCTCCCCAAATTTCATAACAAGACGCTCGCATTTCAAATCCACGCGGATTTTACATACGACAAAACAAAATCATCCACAGAAATGAACATTTTAAAGGTTTCAGATTGTGATTAAATGCAAATTTCTTATAGATACACATAAATTCAAATTTATTTTTCATGTAAAATAATTTAGGTACATTTTCAGATTTGTATTACTTGATTTGTGACTTTTCAGAATTATTTACTAAGTTGGTTGCAGTAAACTACGATCACATAAAATACTGACATGAACTTTTTTTATTTTATTTTATTTTTTTTATTTTTTTCTTCCATGTCACCACTTCCCTTTTTACGCGTTTAACATCTCACCACGAGAATTGGATTGTTATGATATTATTTTGAAAATAAACATTTACTAATGTGAAAGACAGTATTCGGCGCACCAACAGAACACCAAAGTAGTTCATTTTCACATCTCCAAGACAAATTAGCCTAATTATTCTAGGAAATACCGCTTCTGCCTAAAATGTGAACATTTGGAACACAGATCTATCTTCTTCATAGTCTGTGATATAATATTACATTATTTCAACCCCACGAAGCATGGGTTCCAAACCTACAACCATGCAATACCATACAGTTACTCAGACATTTTAGAATGTATACTTAACTCAGATGCATAGAATAAATGCAGAATTTCTATTTACAATTAATTTCAAAGCGACACATTACAGATGTACGCTTCGCATGCGGTAATGAACACTGCTAATATTACAAATGGTTCGTTTGATACAACCGTTAAAGTAAACGACAAAACAAACGCGTTGTTCCTGTGATTGTCTTACTTTGGATTTCTTGACCATAATAACTTATACTAATTAAGATATTTAAAAAAATCGGGCCTAATTATGTTATGATAAATTATAAAATTACGCCTGCTGAGAATACAGTTACAAAAGAAAAAATGCACTATTTGCACTGACATCGTCAGTGCAAAATTTGCGCGTCGCCAGTGCGTCAGGAAAGTGTATCTGCCCAAGCCAAATTAGGAGCTCATATTAAAAATTAAATTATGTTGGTAGCAACCAGATCACTGGAAAACACGTGAGAGGGACAACACTTCCAATAATACGTTAACATAATTTCTGTTGCTAGCATGAGCACTGCTTTACTGGCGCATGATACAAGGTATACAATAATATAGCACACCAGCTATTGAGTAAATTGGAGTCAAATAAGAGAGAGCAATGGAAAGGAATACATTTTGTGTTAATATTATAACTGACACATGTCATCTACATACTTACAGCATTTCACCGATTCTAATAAAATGTGAAGTAGATCGTTTACGTGTATGTATATACATATACAGTACACCAAATATAAACAAATATTGTAAAGGGTTAATGATAAACCTATTTATTCTTAAAAATACCGTACAATTAATCATTTCAGCCTCCAAGCAGTTCCTTGACCTTGAAACCTTTGCCGGAGTTACATACCCTTGGAAAAATAGAAGACTTAAGAGTCGGTTTGTAATTAGCAGATCAAATAAATCAATAAATAAATCAAAAGAGAAAAATAACGTTTTATATTAGTACAAGGTAAACAAAAAAAATATCGCAATATTTTTTTACAATTCTACATTTGAAAGTTTCTTGCCCAAATGTTTTACTATTCAAGTTGACGATCTCGTCGTGTGAATGGAACGAGCATTACTTCGCGATTAAATCCAGCACATACACAGAACACAATATAAACGAATAAGCATAAAGGATCAAACTTCTTTTTTTCAATTTTGCATTCTTCAAAATACTATTACAAGGGAACAGAACTAAGTATTGTGGGTTTCTAGTCGTGTTTCTAAGATAGACTTGTCGCAACGTTACCGATTTTCCACATACGTCCACGCTGACTGACAATACATCCATTTTTGGCTCGACGATATACGTTGCCTCTCGCTCCCATCCGGGTTACACGAATCGTTTGTCGAAAATATATTTTGGACAGCAAGAAGTGGTTAAGCGTACGGCCTTGTTACAGAAGACTTCCGTTCTGAGGATCTTGGTAAACATTAAAACCCCTACTTCCGCAACCTAACGAAGATGCACGTTCTGCGAAACGCCTCAATGAATATTCGCGCGTCGACTGGAACGGGTGCTCCACAAAGGCTGCGGCTGCTCCAAGGCCGGCGACTGAGTAGTCCACTTGGCGGCGGGGTCGCCCGCGCGCCGTGCCGAGGAGAGCCGGCTCGCCGCCGCCAGCGGCGGGGCTCGATTGGGGACTTCCACCGAGCGGTCACCCGTCCGGCCTGCCTCTCTTGCATCGACCCCGCCTGCTCCTTCAACTTGCGGCGCACCCTATGCCGCCACTTCTGCGATGTTCCCCCGCCCCAGCACGGAGCCATGTCCACCCACCCCCAGACCGACTCTTCGCCCGACCCAACTTCCCAGCCCCTCCGGCACCGACGCTTGCTTTCCACTCCTCCGGCGTCACCCACCCCAACCTCCCCGGAATCCACCTGCGGAGCAGCCGGTGGCGCCAGCGCTGACAAGACGCCCGGCCCCGCCCCCGCCTCCTTGCGAAGACGCCCGGACCGCCGTCCACGCTCCGAACGCGCCGCCGTCGGCAATAGCCACCGCAAGCTAAACAAAGCCCATCCATCGATCTCAGAGAGTGAAGGAGTGAGGGGCGCTGGGGCGCAGGGGCTCGAGGACGCGCCTTTCAGGCTGCCTCCTCCGCCGCACAGTGCGCGCGCGCTCACAACCGAGCGGCGCAATCTGAATCATTCCTTTCTATCCGCTCGTTTGGACACGAACCTCTGCGAATACTGTTCATTCGCGTTGTTGAGTATTGCTCTAGCGTTCTAAAAAACATTTCATTTTGAAAAATAAAAACAAAATTTAAGAAAAAATGGTTTAGTCTCATTAGTATATTTTTCTTCTAGTTTACTAAATTTTTAGAATTATCAATAGAGGTTAATTGCGTCTAAGTCGGCAAAAATTGGCTCACATTTTGAATAGAATGAATTATTAATCAATAATTATTAATTAATTATTACACTTATTAATCAATAATTTCTCCCAATACAATATTTTTGAGGAGAACCTTTCAGAAACTTGGAATAATCTGACGAATCAAATGTCACTCATGGTTTTACATCTTAAAAAAAATTAATATTCCTGTCTAGTGTAATTGTCGGATATAAAATTAAATATTTTTTCTACAACATAAAACTATAAAATGTATATTCTTATTTCAGTGCACGATTCAATTTTACCTGAATATAAAACAAGCAAAAGTACTTCTGTATTATTTACTTATTTTGTTTGTTTCAGAAACATAATCTATTGAAAACTTAAAATCCATAAAGATCATAATCATCTGCATTCATTTGGCATTGAATTCACAGCAACTCATAAATTTCTGAATATACCCATTTACTTTATTAGGCGCTGTATTGGCGCCATTGAAATCGACAGCGAAAGCGGAAGTTGTTCACAGTGAGGCTAATTCAGAGGCGAAATCGCGTCTCGGCCCCACTGCCGCGACGCGTCGCGTCGCGTCGCGTCGGCGTGTCGGCGGATGGCTGAAATATGGAGGAGCGGGCGGGTGGACGATCGACCCAGGGGGCCGTGCGCCTGTCGCCGCCGCGCCGGGGAGGCACGTGCGCTTACGCAACGCAACGGCCCCTCCCCCTCCTCCTGCCGCTCCCATCACCCCATAGCGTCTCACGCGCGCCGCTTAACGCCGCAAGTCAAACAACGCATGAGCAGACCGTTCGTACGACGGGAGGCACCCAACACTGGGTTGGCATAGAACTAAGTTCAATTAATCGATAGCATTGAGCGCGCTTGTTTCACGTGAGTGTCAAGGACTTCGTAGCGATTTCACATTTCCCATTACGAATGTAATTCAATTACATTACAATTTCCGGCCACGAAGGTTCACAGTGGCGCACAGAAAGGGATAGAGTTCTACTTCACTACACCTTTTACCCCCTCCCCCTGACAGAAAAATACCGGCTCCACGAAAATTCCTCTATAGAAATGAACTAAATCGCATTATTTTTTGATCGCAATAGTTTGGAATACTCTAATTCACGAAATAACCTTTAGCTTTTGAGTTTTAACTGTGTTGACCTATTGCTTTATTCACTTTTTCCCAAGAGCATAGCGAGATTGGTAAATGCCGTATGTATGAAATTTTTAAATGAAAAATTCCCTTCTGTCGAACAACTCCATAAAAAAGTCGACAAGCATTCTTCAGACGCGGATTTACATCCTTTGTATCTTCCCTATTATTCCACAAATTTTTTAACCCCCCTGACGCTCTCATGTTGTACAAGGAGGAGAGTCCTTCACTATAACATTTGGTTTTCATGATATTTTCGTGCATTTTTATCACATTCCCATACTTTTTTTTAAAATGACGCTGTTTTTATTAGTACGACTTTCCACGTCACAAGCAGAGAGATCGCGTGGCCCGCAGAGGGAGATTCCGTGGAAGGAGAACCATGAAATAAACAAATGTTAATGGCACAGGTGGTACAGAGGCCGTAAATAGCGCGGGGAAATGGAAAAAGAGAGAGACGTCCGTTTATCTGCCTGCGCGGGGCGTGGGTGGGGGCCGAGGGGAGGCTTCGTGCCGCGAGCACAGCCCCATTTCCCGAAGCCCTCGTGCGGCGCCCCGCGCACCGTCGCGGGCCGGGGCTTCCTGGAACGCGGGACCCCGTGCGCCGAGCGGCGGCGCTTCAAGGAGACATTCCCCAGAGCAAAGCTTCGGTTCTCGAACCCAATGCGGAGTAAACCCCCTACACCCGAGTAATCGGGAAATGTGTGTTCACGCACAAACAAACAAAACTGAATGTTACGAGTTCGGTCTTGGCTCTTATCATGTTCCCTTCCCCGATTCGACTATCTGTAATACGTCGTGAAATATCCAAACCCACCATGCGTTTGTTTCTATGTTTATGATAGGTGGCCTGCAAACGTAAAAAGCTTTCGCATTTACGAGGCCACATTGTGTGCCACATTTCAGGGTGCATATAAATGCAAATAATGGTTGAATTGTGTGCTTCTTGTAGAGCTCCATCTCCCTCAACCTTTCATGAACCGCCGCTACCACATCTACACTTCCTTTATGCTCGCTACTACAGGTAGACGTCAATCGCCAACTCGCCATAGTACATTTATTCTCACTTATTTTTTGTACAATATTAATTATCAAGAACTAGTAGGGTGGTTATCAACATAAAATACACATTCAATACATAACAATTACTTAGTAAAATTAACATGTCAATATTTCCAATTAATTCTCACTGAAGAGTTCTGAATTGCGGTGATTGA